CTACAGGTGAGTTTAATTATTCATTAAACAGATGTCCAGCAGACAGTTGATTATAAAAGGGCATACTGAACAAAGAAAACCCCTTCCCATTTCATGCTGTCCGCAATGACACATGGAAGAGAAATGTCACAAAGCCTGAGAGAATTTCTTTACACAAGAAAGGTGAAGGCTACAAGAAGGTCAGCAAAGCTTTACTTGTCAGTCAGAATACTGTAGCAAATGTGATACAAAAATTGAACAAATATGGAACTGCAACCCTCTCACAGAGTAGTCCAGGCTGTCCATGGAAGTTAACACCTCGACAGGAGTGTCTTCTGATGAGATGGGTTGAAGAAGCATGCAAGTTCACTGCAGTTGGCTAAAGAAGTAGAAATCCAAACTGCGGTGATTGTTTCCTGTAGCACAATACGGAGTACACTGCAGAGGACTGGCATGCTTGGGTGTCATCCACAATGCACAAAAAAGGCCATCTAACATTTGCCAGGGCCCATGCTGAAAAAGAAGACTACTGGGACTCTGTACTCTGGAGCGATGAGACCAAGGTAAATGTTTTTGCAACTGATGGCTTCAAAACTGTATGGCGTCGCAAAGGTGAGGAGTAAAAAGAAAAATGCATGGTGCCTACAGTGAAACATGTTGGTGGCAGTGTCCTGCAGGGCTGCATGAGGGCTGCTGGTGTTGGAGAGCTGCATTTTATTGATAGTATCATGAATTCACAGATGTACTGCTCTATATTGAAAGAGAAGATGCTACTATCACTCCATGCCCTTGGTCATTGTGCACTTTTCCAACATGACAATGATCCAAAACACACATCTAAGGACACTGTTGCATTTCTGAAGAAGAGCAGGGTAAAAGTGATTAATTGGCCAAGTATGTCTCCTGATCTGAACCCAATCGAACATCTATGGGGAATTCTGAAGAGACAAGTTGAGCATCACTCACCATCCAGCCTCTAAAATGGGTCATTCTTGAAGAATGGAAAACGATAGCTGTTGCAGTATGTCACCAATTTGTTCATTCCATGCCTAGAAGACTTGGTTCTGTCCTTACAAATCATGGAGGTCATACAAAGAACTAGATGTAGTAGTTTTTTTGTTGTGAGGTGTATTCATTTTTGCATTTAATTTGAGTAAAACTGAAGATTTTGTAGTCTGTTATGTTATTAACCTTACTTTCATGTAATGAGTTAAACAAATGTTTCATAAAACTCAGTATTGTCAAAATTTTGGAAATTGTTCTTGTGTTTATTGAGATATTGATTCAAATCTTACTTTTCAAAAGGGGTGTACTCATTTATGCTGCGCACTGTATGTCATAGGAAGGGAAGAGCAAGTTAGGCAGGGTCAATTGGCTTTCAAGCTTTATGTGGAATGAATGGGGCTGGGAAGATATGTATATTTTAGAAGATTACCTCAGTTTTTATTGATCTTGCGACATGTGTAAATGCCATATGACATAAGCATTTACACTTTATAGCCAAATGTTTGTGAACACTTTACAACTACAACCTCAATTCTAAAAAAAAGTTGGGACACTGTGTAAAATGTACACAAAAATAGAATGTAATGATTTGCCAATCTTATAAAGCCATATTTTATTCGCAACAGAAAATAGAAAACATATCAAATGTCTAATCTGAGAAAATGTACCATTTTTGGAAATTAATAAGGTAATTAGGAAATTGGCAGCAACACTTGTCAAAAAACTTGGGACAGGGCAACAAAAAGCTGTAAGTAATACTTACCACAGCTGTAAATATAATACTTACCACAGAGCCAAAAAAAGGCTGTGAAGAAGTGGGATGTCCATCAAAACCTGTTAGCCAGTTGGATTTTCATTGTCCCGGTATGAGATGTGGTGTAATGGGAATCCGAGGAGTCTTTTGTATTATGACAAGCCTTAATGCATCTGTTGGCTTGTGAGTGAAATTCTTGCTACAATTTTAACAATAAACTATGTTTTAATGATAATGTGCTAGGCTGGTGCGCCTTCTATTTTGTTTTTAAAAAACTGTTCTGTGGTCGGACTAATTGAAATCTGACATTCGTTTTAGCAACCATGAGTGCTGCTTCCTGTGGACTAAAGAGGAGAATGACCTTCCAGCTTATTAACAGTGCTCAGTTAAAAAGCCTGCTTCTTTGATGGTATGGGGTACATTTAGTGTTTATAGAATGAGCAGCTTGCACATCTGGAAAGGCACCATCAATGCTGAAAGACACAGTATTTCCAGATTTTAGAGCAGTAAATGCTCCAATCCAAATTGTATTTTTCAGGGAAGGCTTTGCTTATTTGAGCAGAACAATGCTAAACTGCATACTGCATTTACACTCACTGGCCACTTTATTAGGTACACCTGTTCCATTACTTGGTAACACAAATCAGCCAATCACATGGCAGCAACTCAATGCATTTAGGCATGTAAATGTAGTGAAGACAACTTTCTGAAGTTCCAACCGAACATCAGAATGGGGAAGAAAGGGGATTTAAGTGACTTTGAATATGGCATGGTTGTTGGTGTCAGACAGGCTCGTCTGAGTATTTAAAAAACTGTGGATCTACTGGGATTTTCGAGCACAACCATCTCTAGGGTTCTGAGAATGGTCCAAAAAAGATAAAATATCCAGTGAGCAGCAGTTGTGTGGATGAAAATGCCTTGCTGAAGTCAGAGGAGAATGGGCAAACTGGTTGCTGCAACATTCAGATAGTAAGTTCTAAATTTAGCGTAAACAACATGAAAGCCTGGATCCATCCTGCTTTGTATCGACAGTTCAGGCTGGTGATGTAATGGTGTGGGGGATATTTTCTTGGCACTAGCAAGGTGTACCTAATAAATGGCTGGTGAGTGTATGACAACAGTATGGCTTCATTGCAGAAGAATCCAGGTGCTTAAATGGCCTGCCTGCAGTTCAAACCTTTTTTACCAATTGAAAATATTTGGTGCATCTTGAAACAAAAAATGACAAGGAAGACCCAAGACTGTTGAGTTAGAATCTTATATCAGGCAAAAATGGGACAACATTCCTCTCCCAAAATTCCAGCAACTAGTCTCCCCATTTCCCAGACATTTACAGAGTTTTGTTAACAGAAGAGGGGATGCGACACATTGTTAAACATGGCTCTGTCCCAATTTTTGTTAAGACTTGTTGCTGGCATCAATTTCAAAATTCACATACAAGGAAAAAAATCGTCACCTACCCAGGTCTATAACTGGCTTTTTAAACAGTGAACATGGAAGGTGTCACAAAGTAAAAAATAGGACTATCCAGTTCAGGTTGCCAGCCTACCCCAGTCTAATAATGGCTATTGTCAGCAAGGAACATGGATAAGTATAACTTATCAAAAGAGGGGGATAAGAAAGCCAGTTCAAACTGCCAGCCAGTTAGCCAACTATCAAAAACCAAATTAACCTGTCTAAGAACATGTGTTTAAAAACAGGGGTTTAGTTAGCACATATTTGCAAATACATACGTAAGCCACCGAGCCACGTCACGGCACCCTGAGTATCTGTGGTCCTAACTCTATAAATCTTGAGAGTCCTCACAATGGAGGCACATGCATTTAAATGGATATAAACAAGGGCAGGTGAACCTGAGGGAGCCCACCCCTCATTAAGGTCATAGGAGCGCACCTGACACCCAGCATGTAGCACAACGGCAGCCAGGGTGTCCAATGCACCCAATAAACCTCCAAAATTAACATACAAAGAAAAAACTGATCACCTACCCAGGTCTATAACTGGCTTTAATTTCAAAATTACCTTATTTTTTTTCTTAAAATGATACATTTTCTCTGTTTTACATTTGATATGTTTTCTATTGTGAATAGTATATGGGTTTATGAGATTTGCAATCATTGCATTGTTTTTTATGTAGAATTTACACAGCATCCCAAGTTTTTTGGAATTGGGGTTGTATATCAGCTTCTTGAACATTCCACTCCAAATTATGGGCATTAATGTTGAGTTGGCTTCCCCGTTGCAGCTATAACAGCCTCTACTCGATTGGCTTTTTATAAGATTTTGGATTCTGTTTGTGAAAATGTCTGCCTAAAGAGCATTTGTGATGTCAGCTACGGATGTTGGATTAAAAGGCCTGATTCACAATTCATCCCATAGGTATACAGTAGGCTTAAGGTCAATGTATCTGGAGTGCGTGAATCCAAGCTTTTTATGTCTTTATGGAATTGGCTTTGTACACAGGAACACAGCCATGCTGGAACATTGTATGGGTCTTCCTTAGACACTTGTTCACTTCCAACCTTGTGGCAATAGTTTAACAGTACTGGAAACACTTCAACTCCATTTGAAGGATTTGGGCCATATAGTGTACTTCAGGTAGCATTCTGTATGGGCAGTAGAAATCATTGACTCTTGCTGTCACTTCCACTTGCTTCTTGTTCTATTGTTGAACAAGGCAAGCTGGGAATGGTCACATTAATCTGCGTAGTTGTTTCTGCTGGTAAATTCAATGTTGCCAGAAATGTGTGAGTGATGAGAAAGTCCTATTTGAAGCATCATCTGTTCTAGGGAGTCTTCTGTGGTTTACCTAAATGTCTATTGCAAAGAACAAGTCTCCAGGCCAACCATGAAATATACATAAATGTGAATAGTACTTGCCAAATGATTTGCATGATAATGACATTAACCTTGCTAACATGTAACAAGACACAGTACATAGTGTTAAATACAGCATACATGTTCTGTAGGATATGGACATGCTCCTTCATTTGTTAATTTAACATTGCTTATGTCATTTTTTTTAAAGAGAATTGTGATTACTGCCGAATAGATTGCTCATCAAGCAGTGAGAATGTCAATGATTTGGTGATGGTTTTGTTGCTTTTTCATCTGTTTTTCAAACTGCATTATCAGTCCTTTTGTGTTGCTCTTAACAGGCCATCCCATACTCAGTTATTTTTTTCCCAAATATCATGTTTGCCTTTAGCATCAGTGAATGAAAACCATGACATGTACATGAAGGATTCTGTGTCTGCCACAGAGGTGGGCACTGGCCCATACATCACAGCAAAGGGTGTGTCTCAGACCAATTTGATCACAACGGTAACACCTGAAAAAAAGGTGGAGGAAGAAAAAGACGAGGAGGAAGAAAAGAAAAAGAAAATGGAAATCACCACGACTGTGACCACCGTTCGTCATGACACAAAGGTAAATACCATTTGCTTTCAACTGAGCTGTCATGTTGAATTGCTGTATTATTCCATTCAGTATGCTTGTGGACATTGTGCTTACACCATTTTAAAGGGACCTTAGCTTGAATTGGAAGGTACCACATTATTAGCATATACTGTATATCTTATGTAGCTATATGCAAGATGGGCACACAAAAAAGTTAGAAGTCCCTTATAGGATTCTCCCATAATGCAACTTTCATGTAGTGCTGTGCTGTTCTGTGTAATTCAATGGTGGCTATAAGTTTGTATATGAAACATAAATGCCGCACCGTGTTGTTCCTTTACAGTGTACCATATTTGGCACGCTGAAGTTTGGTTTACTATAATTTATATATATTTTTTAAAAATTCCTTCAAAGTGTTATTTGTTTTTAAATCTCGGTAACACAAACATTTATAGTCTAACAAGGCAAGTAGTGAATACCATTGGATTCATTGAGGAAGAATTGCAGCTCACATGCAATTTACCCATTGCAAACATAACCATTGTGGTTACCAAAAACAAATTTCAAAAGAGATTTCATTTTAAAGCGAGAAAGTAAAAAATTTGTTTGCTAGTATTGTTGCTGTTACTTTGCAGGTGGCAGCCCTTGAAAATTGCTTTTCTATGGGTTTCTCAGGCAGCCTGGTCACAAAGGTGAAATGTGTCATCTGAAGACCACTAAACAGTTATAATGAACCCTGGTAACCTTACAATAGCTCAGGAGAGCTAAGAGAACAGCTGACTGACTGAGGTTCTGTTCTCTGGATATCCATGGAGATTAGTGGAAATGGGGGGCAGGTGCAGAAATTTTCTACTTTCTTACTGAAAGTGTAAAACTATTTTTGCAAAGATAGTGCTAAAAGCCTGTTATATGCGTAGGATAGACTATGTGTTCACTAACCATAGGCCTGGAAATTGGGCTACTGTAGATTTTTCCTTCTGTGATTCAGGTAGCCTCATTTACAATGTATTTCACCATACTACATGAGATACTAATGATCATACTAAAACAACTTACAGTACGTATACCTATGTGGCCTACAAGCTATTGCATCTTCTATCCTGGTTGTTCAGCATATGAGTAGAATTTTCTCAGTTTGAAAGAGGGTGACAGGCTATACAATGTGTCTGATAATCTGCATGTATATGGCTACCTGCTGACATGGCTTTAAATCATAGGCATACCAGTGTGCTCACCAGCCAGTGCTACTGCTGTTCTGCTATTACCCAGCATTTCCCAACAAACTTGCTTTACATTTTCTTCCCATTGTCTACTTTTTTTTCTGCACAGAGCTCCCACATAACTTGATTCAAATATGATCTGTGTATGAAATCAAACATGCCTTAAAACTCCAAATAATATTATGGGGGTTCCAGGCTGATGTTTAAAACCAAATATTGTACCAGTTCTTATGGCTACAGGTCTTATCTGTCAAAGACAGCTTAAGGAGAAGATATGGTTACCATTGATTCGATCACTGGCACATTCAATGCAAGCTCTGATCAAACGTGCAACCTTTTAACAATGGCTCTATCTGCCCCAATATTTTAACCAAAGTTTAAAGTATATGCAAAGCCTAAACCTTTTTTGGGAGGATAGAGTAGGAAAGGGTTAGAACCTCTGCTAGGGTCCCATTACTTCCTGAGTTCTCATTGGACAAATTCAACCTTGCTTATTGACCTGGTAACCACTATCACTGAGACTGGAATTGAGGAAAAAATCCAAAATTTTGAGTTGTCACCAGAGCAAAAATTGATTCCCTTTCAATTCTGTTGTTCCAGTCTGTTTCTCAATTTAGACACAAGTGGCAAAAATGTTTTAACCATTTCCAAAACCACAATTAAAAAAAAAAAAGTTTTGACTTTATTTTAATTAATGCAAAGCAGTGCTGCCATGTGCTCTCATATGGTACAAGCGTATAGTGCTATGATCCCAATAGTGGTGCCGTTGTCATGCTAATGACTCACTGCATCTAAACCAAGTCACTGCATCAACTGTAGGTAATTTATTAATAGTGTAATAGTAGGTAATTTTTTTAAGAGTGTAACCAATACTCTTATGCTTTTATGTACTTTTATTGATAATATCTAGTGCCTAGGAGAAGTCAGTGGTGTCATTCAGGGTCACCAAAACTGATTTGGATGTTAAGTACTCATATAGATCCACCTAGTCTATAATACGTAGGATCTATATTGCAGCCTTTAAATTTATGAAAATCGTTATCCTTCTTGTAATTATGATCATAATTAGTATTATAATTGTAGTCCCCATTGTTTTACACTTTGATGTAGCAACTTTGTGGTGCTCAATTTATAAATGAGTCCAAACAGCTAGTAAGATTTTGCTGAAAAGTTCGGCAAAGTAAAAAGTAGTTACAGTGCCAGTCTTTGTAAATAACCCATTGAAATCTACATGTTTGCA